CCACTCACCCCATCTTCCAGATGTCTGGGATAATGAGAGTGGCCATATACAAATTGAGGACCTCCGTTAGGTACGCTACCCCCGCAGGACCCAAATTTTTTAGCATCAGCATGCATATTCCGTCGGGGCCCATGGCTTTGGAGGCTTTCGCCTTCCCGATGGCCACGTGAACTTCACCGCAAGTGAAAGCGAGGGGGCACAGGTTGTTGGCAGTTTGTGCAGCCTTCTAGTCACTCTACGCTTGGCTTTGTCCACCGGAGGATGCAGTATGAACTGCCGGCTAAAATAGCTCGCGCATCGCTCCGGGTCCGACGAAGCATGGTCGCCGAAGGAAATTTCGACTCTGTCGTCGTGCTTCGTCGGATTGGACAGTGACCTCATGGTTGACCAAAGCTTGCTCACACCAGAGGTGAAGTTACAGGTCTTCAGATGCTCCTCCCACTTCTTCCGCTTATGTACGTTTACTAGTTGCCGAATCTCCGCGTTGAGATCCCTGATACGGGGATCTCCGGGATCGGCCTGACGAAGGCTATCACGCTCATCGGCTAGAACAGCCGCTTCGGCAGGGAAGTTTGGACGTGACAACCCTGCGGAACTTACGTTCACCGTGATGGACGTCGGTTGGTGTGGGGAGCGCTGTGAAGGTGTTTTCGGTAAACTCCGCGTAACTTTTCCAATCAGCTTTTGAAAAGTTGATATAGGTCCGGTGTTTGGGCGGAGGCAAAGTCGGTTGGTTTATCTATCGAGATGACTATGGGTAGGTGGTCTGATGCTAAAGTCAGCATAGGTCGCCATGTTATGCTGTTTATCAGACCAGCGCTGACTATGGTGATGTCTGGCGAGCTACTGAAGTTACCCATAATCCTGGTGGGTGCGTCGTCGTTCATTGTGCAGAATGTCGAATCGTCTATCTGCTCAGCCAAGTCTGTTCCCCTACGATCGTTTAACAGGCTTGAGTGCCAAAGATCGTGGTGCGCATTAAAGTCACCTCCTACCATACGATTTTCACCTCTGAGGAGCGCACCTATATCAGGGTGATATCCTGCCGGGCAGCAGGTGACAGAGGGTATGTATATGTTAAATATTTAGAGCTCCACATCGCCTGACCGGATAGCAATTCCCTGACATTCTAGGGTGGTATCCCTGTGGTCGATGTCTGCTTCAATAAGACGATACTGCACGGTGTGGTGCGTGATGAACGCTAAGCCACCACCATTATCTCGCTCGCGATCTCGACGGTGCACGTTGTACCCGGCAACTTCGTCTCTTGGACCGCAGCTATCAATATACCATGCCGACACATGAAGACGGTTATCTCCTCAATCTTGCTCTGTAGCCCGTTGCAGTTAAATTGAAGGACCTTCATGTGGTTCGGGAGACGTGTCGTGATGTGGGGTGTAAGGGATGTGTGTGTTCTCACCGCCGTTGGCTGTGTGCGCTGCTGTGATGGTTGCCGCCCTGTGGTGGTGGCGGGAGGCGTCGCAGTTGAGGTCTGCGACCGAGCAGCGCAACACGGGCCCAGTCCAATCTTGCGTGGTACGCAGACCTGAGCATGCCCTAAAGTGGCACCAGCCAAGGCAGGTGTTGCACTTGACTGATGTCGCATTACGGAATATCCGGGTCTGACATACCGTGCAGATTGTAGGGGGAACCAGGAGTTGTTGGCGGCGACGTGTGGGTAGTGGTGCGGTTGTGTGTGTTATGTGGTCTGTCGTGGCTGTGATGCGGTCTGTGGTGTTATTATGTTGTTGTGCTGTGGTGACTGTGTGAGGCTGCTCGGGTGGACTGAGGTTAGCCGTGGAGGCTGCTCTGTTTGAGCAACAGGGGGCCACATACGACGTGGTCCACTGTCGATGTGTCCGTAGTCCTGAGCAGAATCTAAGGTGACTCCACCCCTCGCAGGCATTACACTTGACTGAGGTGGAGTTGTGGTGTAGTCGTCTCTGGCATACACAGCAGGTGTAGATTTCTGGCCCTGGGTTTGACTCGATGCCAGCCCTGAGTAGAAGAATACGTAGTGAATGTAGCCCTGTGGACGAGCAACTTCTGAGATACTTCGCCGACCTAAACGGGGTTAGATCGCCGAAACAACAGCCCTTGGTCGGGTAAAACCCGAGTCATTCCGGTACGTAGAACCGGCTGTCGTGGGAATGTTGCCTGGTTATCAGGTTATGTGGTTATATTTTTATTCAGTTTACAACAATAAAATGCACTACACAATAATAATTTTTAACCAGATAACCTGATGACCAGGCAATTGTGAATAACCTCAATAAAAGTTTCTAACTTCGTAAAAATTTAGAAAAATTCATCAAGTTTTCAACATTTCAAACTTATTAATCAAAATTAATGCGGTTGCCCATTTTAATTTTAGTATAGTAATGATTTTTGAAAATTTTCCCCGAAGGTCTTGTAGTTTTTTTCATGTAACGCATGCTTTTTCTATGGGAAAATGCGCTACCCCATATGGAAAAAATTGCCAAAAATCAACTAGAATCTTGAGCTACTTCAAACTTGCACTTTACAATACATTTTTCTACAATTTTTTATTAAAAAGTTTGAAATGTTGATGAAAATCTAATGAATTTTTAAAATTTTGTACAAAGTTTGAAAGTTTTCTTTATATAAATTTTGTTACATTGTGAATTATATTAAAAATATATACATACATATGTATATGTATATATTTTTTATAATATTCTACCTTATTTTTTTAAGTGGTGGTAAGGTTTTCGTTGCCACCTAAATATCGAGTAGTATAAGCCGCAGTCTGCACAACGGACTAATGGAATTGAGGTCTGGTATACCTACGGTGATCAGATTTCTGTGGCCAAAAAGCGGGACATTTGTAAAGCATCGAATCCGAACATACAATTTTGTCTTTAGGATAAAAAGACATAACGTCTTTTAATACAGCTTTATTTAAAATAAAACAGAGAGAGTAAAACTTGAAAAATTATATGGAAAATACATTTTGACAAGTTTTGGCTACTTTCGTTTGTTTAAAAAACGTTTATTATTTTTGTATTATAATATAACTTTCTAGTTTAAAAAACCATATACCTAAATCAAAATTTCAAGCTATGTGGAACATTAGTAGATTTTCTAGAATCGTTCAAAACAATACAGTTGCAGTTTTGTAGCCCATTAAATTTTAGTATAATAATGTGCAAGTTTGAAGGACCATGAACTTACCGCTGATTTTTGGCAATTTTTTGTTTGCTCATTTTCTTCTAAATCAGTTTTGACCCAGTTATTTAAGTTTTTCGTAAATCTATCTTTGACAAAAGTAAAAAAAGCATCAAAACTCTCATTATTACGATTCAGTTGAAAAGATTTTTAAATATTTTTATGGAGATTTTTTAAGCCTAATCTGTTTTGTCATCTGAGAGGCCTTATTTGCAAAAGGTTCTTTAAGAAACTATTTTTATTCATAAAACCTCCATTTTTGGAGGTATTTTCAAATCGGTCCAGCTCGCTTAAATCTTAATATTTTTCCGAAATATTTTGGTGGACGTCTTAAAATATAATAAATTTTGTAATCCCGACGGAAAAATCGCAACTTTTTTAGTGATGCAGTCTAATGTAGTATATACATTTCTAAATTAAAATACGTATGTATAACAGGCTGATCTTGTTTCATAAAATACGTAATTGCGCTTTCAAAGTGCGTGTGTGAAATTAAGACGAAAAAAATAAAAAAATAAGTTAAACTTTTCGTACTCTACGAGTTTATTTTGCGTTTTATGTATGTGTGTTTGTGTTATAAAAAGGGTAAAACAAAACACAACAGAACTTGTAAAAAAACGAAACCACTTAAAATCAGTACACAAACGCCTCTAGCACCTTACTTTTACTACACTTCTGTGTATGTATGTTTGGTCATTTCGAAAGAAAAAAATAAAAAACAAATAAAAAAAATTAATCAAAACAATAAAATAAATTTGCATAGAATTGCTGCGACGGCGCTATGTGTAGATATCATCATCCCTGCAAAAAAAAATTGTATAAAATAACAAAGCGACAAATTCATTCTCCATGCTCTATTTTAACGAACGCCATGTTGGCGCTCTCACATGCCTCACATACTATGTACACACACAGTCGCACTCATTATCAAACCGAAATCCATAGGCATTGCCATAAATTTGCATTTGTTGTTGCCACATTTCGTGGCTGGCTGCCGGTGCGACGCTTCCAATTGATGGTTGTCGACTCGTCGCCATCGTTGCCGGTTACCGGCATTGTCCGCTCATTTCCTCAAGCATTTCCTCCCTACTCCGCCCACTTTCATTTCGAGTGTGTTGGTGGCTTCATGCTCTTTGCAAATACTCACTTGCTAATGCTATCAAATAATCAACCATAGCAGCCAGCCAATCCATCCAACCATCCATCCATCCGGTCTGCTATCATTTGAGCTTTCATTTTATGTGACTCTCTCTCTTTGGACCTTTGACTGCTTATACTGGTATGTACTATGGTTTTTGCATACGTTCGTTTTAATTTAGCACATTTGCCGGTTTTTGGTACTCGTCGTTTCAGTTTCGGTTAAATGCCTCGTGCACACGCGCAACGTTGCCTTAAATCGCTCACTTCTTCCAAGTACAATAACCCCCCTGAGGTGCTTTTGTTGTTGCATGTGACCCAACAATGTACGATTTCATAGTGGTTCGCCTTTTATTTTGTATTCCTTAACAATAGCTTTTGCTGCTGTTTTGTTGCAAAAAAATTTTTGCACACATGTTTGTGGTTTTATTCGATTTTATTTTCAGCTATTCTTAATGGCATTCACTGCAGACCAAGGAACCAGCTTTCGCTGTGTGAGTGTACCTACAGGGTGCTATGTGCGTCTGTCTTTAATCAGCTTTGAAGAGCTGATTTGCGCACTCATTCATTTATTACCTTTTATTTCCTTTTGCCTTTTCTGTGCCTTGGCAAGTTGGTTGTATTCATTTTTTTATACAAATATTTAATTTCAATTTCTCTTGTTTGTTTTGCAGAGATTCCTCAGTATCCGAATGTCGATCCTTTCAACTATGAGAGCATGAAATCGTCGCTGTTGGAGCGTCTGGAATTATTCAATGCCGCACCATTTACCATTCAACGTTTGTGCGAGCTTTTGATTGATCCGCGTAAACAATACAGTCGCATTGATAAATTTATGCGTGCTCTGGAAAAGAACATTTTAGGTGAGTATTTGTCCGTCGTGTAAAAAGTAATTGAATTAACAAAGAAATTATAGGCGTGGTGTACAGTTATTAATGACATGATAAATGATTTCAACAAGCTCTTTTTTTAAGTTAAAAGTGAATTTGTTAGATAATTGGTGATAAAACCTTGTGCTGCAGTTGGAAATATTGATTTCCAGACTCAAAAATAACTCTGATGGCCTTATTCATAAAAAATAAATTAGCTTTATAAAAGGTTTATAAATTGAAAAATGTATGATAATGTCAATTTAAATTAAAAATTTTAATTTACTTTATTTTTTATGAATCAGGCCATAATACTATGTCCCCACTGGAGCTTAACCATTTAGTTATAGTTGTTGAGTTGGTTATCCCGATAACCCACAACATACACTTTTAAGTTTCATGCAATTTTTCCCCAAAATAGGCAGTGTAGCTACTTAATAGGCTATAAAACTGCGTATTCAAAATTCCAATTAATTTAAAAGAAAAAAAGTTAAAACCTGATTAAAAGCAATCTGCAAAAAATTTTCGGAAATGCATCGTCAAAATTTGTTTCGAATAACTGTTTCGAATAACGGAATGGCCTGGCTTTTTAAGCCATCTTCGGGCCGTTAGCGTTAAATTTGGAAATAATATTCACTACCAGTGTTCGGACTCACCTCCGCTGAATGTTATGCGGTAACATACATAAAAAAAAGAAAAAATAATCCGACGAACTGATAACCTTCTCCTTTTTGTGAAGTCGGTTAAAAACCAACTCGAAACCACGTCGAAAATCTGATACAACCCTGTGCTTTTCTGCCATATGTGGGTCATTAGCGTTAAAATTTAAAAATTTCGTTCCGTACCAGTGTTCGGACTGCCACTCCGATCATATTAGATTTACTTCGGTTTTTGAAAAAAATTGAAATCTACTCCTCTACTCCGCTTGACTTCAAATCTATTCCGTTTTTTGCACTCTAAGGCCCGTGTTCACCCCCTGGTTTCAGTAAAAAATTTAAAGTTAAGCACAATCTCACTAGATAAAAGAAACTTGTTCATAAATATGAGTCAATAAAGTCACCTCGTGATTTTTTGATATATGGATGCAAAACTTGGCGGATGCAGAACTTTACTTAAGTTGATGAAAGACATATGTTGAAAGAAATTTATATAAAGTAGAAAGGTTTAGGTACTATTGCTCTCTAAAAAGGGTCTGTTAGATATATTATACTCTATGGAAAATACAAAATTACCTTAATCTTATTTATGCATGAATAGAAAATGTTTAAAGTCGAAAGCGAAACTAAAAATTCCAATCGGTACTGAAAATTTGTTTTTGCTCCGATTTTTGAAGGGTTTACTCCTGAATCGAGTTTCAGTAATCCCAACACTGCTTTCTACATTTTTACTGTTTTATAAACCTCAAACCTCAGTGTGGACAGCAATGGTTAGTGATGTGGTTATGTTCGACTTGAGATGATTAACCTTTTGGTGGGGACATGGTATAAGGACAGATGTTTAATTAAAAATTCTAAGGAGATGAAGTTTAAAATATTCAAACGAACTACTAAAATCTATGACAGAAGAGTAACTGTTACACAATCGGATACATCTTGTTATCAGTTCATTGATATCATAATTTACAAGATGCATAATATAATACGCGAAAGGATTTTTTGTCTAAATCAAATCTGCCCCATTCGTTCGATTTTCAAAAATTAGATGTTAAATAGGTTTTACTTTTTCAAAAAGAACGGCCACTATTAAATAATTAAACACATATTGTTTAATAATCAATGCCCTCAGATCCGCATCTTTCGTTCGATTTTCAAAAGTGAGGTGTGAAATGAAAGGACTTAGGCTGTAGATGTTCAATAAGGCTTATACTTTTTCGAAAAGAGTTGCCACCTGTTAAAAAATTAACCTTAAATTATTTAAAAAGTCATATCGCTGTGGGTATCAACCGAAATGGCTGTAAAAAGCTTTATATCTTAACTACGCGAAGGAGGGTTGCCACATGTTTGAAAAATCGAGTTAAATTTTAATTAAAGGAATTAGGTAAGTGAATAAGGTATAACCATATGGGTGTCAGACAAAAGGGGTTTAAGAAGGTATAAGTTTGAAAATATTTTAAAGACGGTTGCCACGTGTTTGAGACGTCGAATGTAATTATTTTATACCCAAGTTATATGAAATACTAAAAATCGCTGTCAAATGAAAGAATTTTAACAAATCTTTAATTTGACAATTTTGCATATTTTTTATGTCTTTGAGAGTTGCCATGTGCTAAAAAATAAAATTCAACGTAAAAAGATTTTAGTTTAAAAATACTTTAAAAGGGATTGCCACCTGTTTGAAAAGTTGAATTTGTTTCACTTATACACAAGCTAAATGAAATATTGATAATATTTTTAATTAGGGTTGCCGCCTATTTTTGTTTTTTGAGGTCATTAGATCTGCGTTGTTATTTCGAATTTCCAAAAAAAGAAGTCAAATTAAAGAACTGGGATTGCACATAGATGTGCAATAAGATTTATTTTTTTGAAGTTATAAAGTTTTTAGCGGTACAGAGTGATATTAAATCTGAGAAATTGAAAACCGACACCATGCGTCACCTCTCATCATTACGTGAATCATTAGGAATAGCAGTACTCCAAATGGCTTTTTACAAGAGAAGTGTACAGACTTTTTATAGTTAGAGGATCTCTAAAATCCGCGCTGTTGCTTTTTATACAGCCAATCATTCCAAAAGCTTTTGAAACTATAAAATCGACTGGCAAATGTAATCATATTGTCAATATGACTCCAAGATTTTTTTATTTAGGTAGTACCGTGGTGTATCGTTTTGTATATGATTTTAAATTATTAAAAGAACACCATTTTTCAAACGAATGCACATCATCCTGCAACTTAAGGCAGTCGGGGATATATTGTTGATTCTTAATAACAATTTTACATGATCAGCGAACATAAGACGTTTCGCATGACGTAAATAGCGAGATAGGTCATTAATAAAAATAAGGAACAGCAATGGGCCGCAAGGTGTCCCCTGGGTAATACCCGACCACACTTCAACGAATAAAGTTGATTTTGTTGAGCCAATCTGCACAAACGTCTTCCTAACGGTTAGAAATCTTAAGAAAAAATTGAGTAAAGAACCTATTACGCCTTACATATGTATTTAATTTATGCTAAAGCATAGAGTGATCAACTTTATCAAATGCTTTGGAGAAATCGGTGTAGATAATAGTAGCGTTCTTGTACGCGATAGTTTGTACCAGTTTGTACTAACTATCACGTTTTGGTGTTCTTGTACCCAAAACACTTGTAAGAAAGGGGAAATTGAGAGCGCAAATTGACATTTCTTTCTGAGGAGAAGTTGCTAGTTTTTACTGGATAAATTTTTGCTGGTAAGAACTTGCAAGTGAGAAAAACAGCTGATCGCATGTTACTGGGTGGAATTAAAACTAATAAAAGAAATGTTTATGAGGTTTTCATAGTTGAAATTGACAAAATAAACCTATTTAAATATAATATATATTGTTTTAACAGGAACTAGCTGCGAATAAACAACAAATTAATCAGCTGTTCGTAAAACTTGCAAATTATTACTGGTTTTGCGTTCTTGTACTTATGTGCTATGAGAGCGAATTCTCAGAAATTAAGTTACTGGAGATTTACTGGCAAGTTACTGGATAATTTGTAAAAGAACACTACTAATATCCAGCTGCGATTATTTTTTTTTTGATTTATTGCTCATTATTAATAAGTAGAATTGATTAAAATATATCAGCGATTTTTCCCACAAAAACTGCCATTATTTCATTCAGTAGGAAAAGGCCCTGTCATCGATGATGTTAAGAATAATTTTCTATTGAATAGCATACATAGTTAAGTCCCAGTTTGGTTCTAACAGCAGGAAGTATAACCTATTTTAAAGTATGGTAAATTAGTTTTGGCACTATCTTTCAAGCTCATGGCTCCGAGCCCATTGAGGGTACTTACATAATTGGCGAAGTTCAGTAAAGCCGAACCCATACTGAATATCGTCATTGTCAGTAAAAGTGATGAAATGGACATCGTTATTCAGCATAGAGCCGAATATCTTATCCTACAAGGCACTGCAAACTAATACGGCATCTGAAAATGCTAGGAATATAGTCGAAAGATATTTGTCCGTTTATCTACTAGACCTGGGAGATACGCTTTCGGCAGAAGACGTGAGAGGATTCTAAACTCAATGCGGCTACAGTTTGAACACATTATCTATTATTATTTTTAACCGGCTGCAAAAAAGGAGGAGGTTATTAATTCGTCGGAATATATATGTTTTTTTTTTTTAATGTATGTTATCGCGTAAATTTGGACCGGGTTAACCGATTTCTAAAATTCTTTGCCTCAGAGGTGTTTTTTGCTTGAAAATTACTTGTTTTTATTAAAAGCCAAACACTCTAAAGTCACTTAAGCTACTTAACCTGAGGGCACAGTTTACTTCTTCAGGAAAACATAGCAACGGCAAGGAGCTTTTTCAAGTGATAGCAATAGTGAACAATATTTCTTGAGGCTGGAAAAAATGTTGTGAAGGGCACAATAGATCACTGGGTTGCTGTGCATACCTGTGGTGTAGTGGTTAGAAACAAAAGAAATAAGAAGTTTTCTAATAGCGGTCCCCCTCCGCAGGCAATGGCAAACCTCCTGTACTATGTCATATTGCCCAGGAAAGTTATTTTGAACTTTACTTTTAATTCATGCTTTTCAATGAACTTTACTTTTAATTCATGCTTTTCAATATTATTTTAATTATACATACATATGTATGCATATTTTACCCACTGAATATCTATTACCACTACTTGCTCCTGCTTGGTATCAAATACTCAACAATGGCTTCTTTTCTTTTCTCTTTTTATGAACTCCAGTAGTGAGCACCATCGAACCTGGCCGTAAGCGTACTGAAAGTGAAAACGGGGATTCATTGGACTCTGTTGTTAACGGTGATTTGTCGCTGGACGTCAATGTCGACATCGATATGGAGAATGAGTCGCTCTTCAACATGGAAACGCAAAACGGCAACGGTACTGGCAACGGCAACGGTACAGCAGCAGCAGCTGATGGCGAGGCTTCCCAAGAGGCAGCTGAACCTAAAGAGAAGCCGGCTGTGACTGAGACGACCGCTGCTACTAAGCATGCCACAACCGATGATGATATACTGCCAAATCCGAAGAAGGCAAAGCTGGATTTAGATGCGAAAGAAGAAGAAAAGGCTGCCGACAAGACTGAAGGAGAAGAGAGCAGCACAGCTGTGGCTAAAGATGAGAAGCAATCGAAGGTGGACGATGAAAAGCCTAAGGAAAATGATAAGGCTGATGGCGAGGCCGAATCTGAGGTGGCTAAGCCAGCTGTAGAGGATGCTGAAATGCCAGAGGTTGATAACAAAGAAGTAGAATCAAAGGTTGAGAACGAAGAGCCGAAAAAGGAAGAGAAAGAAGAAAAGAAAACGGTTGACAAACCGCCAGAAAAAGAAATAGAGAAGGCTGTGGAGGCAGAGGTTGAAGCTAAAGTGTTGCCAGAAGCCAACAATAAGCAGAAATCTGAAGTCAAAACTGAAGTTGACGCTGCTAGTTCCGATGAGAAAAAGGAAGTCGAAGAAGTGGATGCGGCTGAGAAGAAAGAAGAAACGTCAGTGTCTGAAGCTGAGTCGAAGTCAGCTGAAGAAGAGGAGAAGATAATTGAAAAACAAGAGATTGAAAAGGGTGAAAAAGAAGTGGTTGTGGCAGCAGCTGCCGTAACAACTGAGATCGCCGAAAAATTGGTTGAGCCTGAAGATGAGAAAGCAGCCGCTGAGGAATCGACTGAAACTGCTAAGGTAACGAAAGAAACCAAGGTGCCGGTTGCCAGTGGTTGTGATAAGGACAGCGCTAAAGCCACAGAGAGTGTCGAGAAGGAACCGGCGCCTGTTAAGTCAGATGAGAATGATGCTGAATCTAAGGCAGAAGTTTCGACTAGCACACCAGAAAAGGAAGTAGAGATTGCGCCACAGACAGCGACTGCTGAAGCTGTAGCGGTTACCACTACCACTGACAAGATAGAATCAGCTGAGGATGCCAAAGCCACAGCTGAAGAGACCGATTCCACTGCCACGTCAACAAAAGAACCCGAAAAGACTGAAAGTACTGCTGAAGCCGCTGTGGAAGAAGTGGAAAAGCTAGAAAAGGAGCAGAAAGTTGAAGCTTCTGCGGCTGCAACCAACGAGGCAGAAGCCGTGGTCTTAAAAGAGCCCTCTGTTGGGGCTGTCAACAAAACCAATGAGGAGAAGAAGGAGGCCAAAGTCGCCGCATCACCTGCTAAAACAGCTAAAACCACTAAAACCGAAAAACCAACGACTGATGACGGCGCCGCAGCTGTTACTGACACTGCCGCCGTTGCCGCTAGCGAAAGTGAAGTTCCAGCCACCGACGAAGCAGTACAGAGCACCACTGCTGATACCGTAACCGCAGCTGAAGAGAGCAGCGCCGCCGCACCTGCTACCACTTCAGCACCAGCCGAAGAATCAGCCGAAGCCATTGCTGCAGTTCCTGAAGCTACACCCACGCCAACACCAACAGCTACAAAAATTCCAACACCGACTCTAGCACTCAATGACCAGCCAATGGACGATGTGCCGATCGAAGAACCCCAATCCGCTGTCGATGAAGTTGTTATGGCCGAGTCGAATGCCGCTACTGAAATGGCCACTGACGCCAACGAGCCAACAGCACCGTCCAAGGACGATCCGGCTGGCATGGAGGTGGATGACACTAGTCAGGAGGCAATGGATCAGTAAATTATTGGCAGCATAACAATTTCACACAATAATATTTTCCACACGCATATAATACGATAAAAAAATATTTTAATTGTGAGACACGTCGACGACGGCGAAAATGCGACGCGATGCGACGCAAAGCGATTCTTCATACTTAACACATTTTTTTTTTTTTGAATATGTAGCGGGTTTTTAGGCGCATAAGCAAAATTACATGAATGTGTAAACAAAATTTGGATGTAAGTTAATTTAAACTATGAAGAAGAACAAGAAAAATTACAATTATAACACTAAAAACAAAAGAAAAAGAGATAAATATAGTTGGCAGCATAAAAACCCGATTAAATATTTAAACATACATACATATACTTTACACAATAAGCAGCGTACTTGTAACGTTCCGTTCCGTTCCATATGGCGAATATATGTTTGTAACACCGCATGGACAACGAGCAACATAGTTTTGCTTTTGTGTACATTCTTTAAATTTAATTTAAACCAAAATGAATTATTTAACATGGTATTAAAAATTATTCATTTTATCTACTTTTATTTGTTTAATCAAAGCGCGCCAACAATATTAAATGAACCATTGAAAAATGAAACATAAAAACAAAAATAATAAAATAAACTGCTTGGTTTTTAATTTTGTGGTGCAACGAACACCGTTTTGAACAAAATTTCTGTTTTTATTATTTACTTACTTATTTTGAATAAGAATTGTGCTAAAAGAATTTGCTGGAATGCTGGATAAAGGATTTTGAGAGCAAAATAGTGTTGCTGATAAATTTAGGCAAAACTACATAAAAAGTTTTACAGATTTTTATATTTTTAGCATTGAAGTATTTTAAACTTTTAGCTGTGAGACTTTCAAAAAAAAAAATAATAGCGTAATTTTGATTCATTGGACTTACGCGAATCACAAAACTGTTTGGCTATAACAAACAGGCTGTGTTCAGAGATGCATCCCGCCAAAGCATCAGCCTCATTTTATCGAAACTACAAGTGATAGAAAGGCCTTATTTGCGCAACTAAATTGATGCATTTCTGAGCACAACCATAGACGTTACTTAACTGCTGCTTGACTCGAATAAACGATTTTTTTTTTGTTTTCGTTGTGGCAGCAGTGCTCAATCAGTTTGGACTTGTTCTAGGGTCATAATAAAAGCGACAATACGCAGCACTGATGAAAATGTGCAACACTCTTGCAACTGCTCCACTGATACAAGGTTGCTAGAAATTCAAATCGGTCGTGACACTTTAACGGCTCGCGCAATACTGCGGTTGTTATTGCAACTCGAACAAGTCTTTTGTCTAGCGATTGCAGATGGTGTGCATATTGGGGAATGCATTCAGACCAATGCATGATAAGTAGCACCGTAGAACCTAATAGCAGCGAGGATTTGAATTCAGAAATTCTTATTTGCGCCTTTCTTCAAGTTGGGTCAGTTCGTAAATTTAAGACGCAGTATCACTGCAGATGATTAAACTCTTTTATTCATAAATTGTAGATCATATCAATGCCGCAATTTCGCAATTTAATTCCAATTTGGCACTAAACCGTTTGAAATAAAAGGGACTGTTTTTTTGTAGTAAGGCATTTACGAACTGACGCATTATGTTGGTTGGTGCCCAACCAACTAGCGGCAGTATTTTCTCTATCTGCCTACATTTAAGGGTTAATGAATAGCATTAAATATTTCCCAAAAAAATTTGGAGAATGATGTTACATTGGCGGTCCTGGGACAGACATAAATCTCGGCATAACAGAGTTTTGGGAAATGTTGCCTAAGTTGCGGCCCTTTGTAAGCAATACATATGAATCGTTCCGGGGGGAATGGCTTTCGATAGCGCAGAAAAAACGAACCTAAAAATCCCACACAGGAAGAACATCGTACACCGAAATCTGCGGTTACTCACCCCAATTGCTAAGAAATTAACTATAACTCCGGATTCTTCTCTTCTTTGAAATTACATTAATGAACCAAATATGTTTGAGAAACAAATGTAAGGGCTGACCATTTTGTCAGTAAAAAAAAGTTACATATTTAATAATAATGTGCAAGTCTCTCACTGTCATTGGGCGCGTTCCATTTATTGCGAGGTGCTACAGCGACTAATGGTGATTTCGTTTCTACCAAAAAATTTCGACTTTTGATTGCCCGTTTCCCTTTTCGTATTCGGTTCTAATATAAAGACAAGCGGTGAGAAATGTCACACTCTTTTAAGGCAAAAAAGGCACATTCCCTGCCCTTTGAAGCTTTGTCAGGGGTGATGGTTGACCTCAAAATCAGATTGTTGCTTAAAACGACAATATTATGAATTGCGTGAGCTACATACTACTCGTGCTAGTACTCTGCTTTATATATATATATATATATATATATATATTTTTATTTCTATTTATTTTATCACAAGACCACCTCAAACAATTTATAAGTTATACCAAGGTGTATTAAACAAGGTGGTGTTGGGGCGACAGCTGAGTTTTTCGCCGTGGAGGCCATTACGTCAAAATGATGTGTTTGTTGTAACTCATACCAATGACAGTATGGACATCAGCGTATAATTTGTTAGTGTAATTTTTTACTTATATACGGTCAACACCACCTTATTAAATACGCCTTGAGTTATACATTTAACACTTCCTGAAAATATTACAAACAGCTTTGAATTTGCTAATTTTATTCGTACAGTGTTATCACTCTACTGTAGAGCACTTGCTAGCACAATTCTTAGCCTATTTTTTTCTTATCTTTTGCTTATTACATATTCTGATGACTTCCAATCAACAAAAGTTCCATACATATAAGAATTCTTTTTTAATAAATTGCGCCGGAGCATTGCGTGAAAAAGCTACCATGTTATGTAAAACTTTTATAATTAAGAAAATAGCATTGAGTATTTGATTTTTTACAACAGTAATATATGTATACAAGTATATATGATTATCGTCATCATAACCGTTTTTTTTTAATGCAAAATACGTTTTTAAAGTGATAAAATAATTTGGCGCACAACTTGTGGCAGTTGGGTATACAAAAATGTTTCCAAAGAAATATATTTGGCTTGACGCAACGAAAATATTTAATAAGGAAATTGATCTATGCACCTTGAAAGGTTTTTCCCTGCGGAAAGTGTGAATGAAAATATCATTTTGCAAAGTATTTAAGGTGTTTTCGTTTCTACAAAAAAAAAAAAAAAAAAAAATCCGCCTTTTCATTGTTACTTTCTCTTTTCCGGTGGGATAATTTTGTGTTCGCTTCTTAAAATGTCGCACTGCAGCAATGAAAGAAGGCACATTTCTGCTCTTAGAAGCTTTGGGAGAAACGAAAACACCATAAAATACGTTTTATGTTTTAACCATCAAAGGTTTGTTTTTTCACTATCATTTCAAAAAAAATGTCAGTAAAATGAAAAAAATGTGCATTCACGAATTTATTTTTTTACATTTATTGCTGTAGGCAAGATAAATCAAAAATAACTAAAAGACCGAATAATATAACTCAAACAATTGCTTTTGTAATCTCAGCGAGAATTCTATAAGGTCAGATTACTTCCTCAATTATTCTCTTAAATTGCAAAGAAATTTTTCCTTTAAACTTTGTTTTTTTTCCTTCGATTTCAAACAAGCTTTCTTTGGCTGATTAGGACCTTTGAAACTCCGGTTAATAAAGTAAGATCACTTTCAAAGTCTTTCAGTGCTCTATTGAGCTGTAAGTTTTATATTTCAGCGTAAGCGTCGAAAGTCATAGCGCTTGGAAAAATTTTTCCCACTTAAGAGTAGAACTCAACACCAAGCTTCTTAGGCATTTTGGTTTTCAGCGCACAAGCCGACATATAAAACCTTAGCTGTACGAGTCCCACTCTAATTCACGTCACCTAACATACCCACTTCAGTCGGGTCTATATTACCGGATATAATTTGACCAATAACTTTCACTTCCTTTACTTTTTACCAAATTTTTTATGAGGAAAGCTTCATTCTGTTACTACAAAAACTTTTGACATACATACAGTGGTATAAATTCATATTTCTAACTTTGTGCAAAAATTATAAAAATTCTGCAAAATTGCATCTAAATTTTCAATTTTTCAATCAGATTTTTTAGAATTTTTTTGATTATGTAGTTTTATAGCCCACTAAATTTTAGAATGAAGTGTAAGCTTTATGTTGCTAAAAAATCGCGTTGATTTTTGGAAATTTTTTAAAGATTTTCTTCCATACAAAGCATGTTCGACAATTTTCTTCGTATGGAAATAATTGCGTAATACATTCAGAATAAAAATTAACAAAAATCAACGCAAATTTATACGAACCTCAAACTTGGACTTTATTCTACTAAAATTTAATGGGCTGAAAAATCTGATTAAAAAGTTGAAAATTTAGATGCAATTTCGCAGAATTTTTATAATTTTTGCACGAAGTTTGAAATATGAAATTATATGGTTTTTGTTAGATAATGAGCTATACTTTTATAAAAAAAATAATAAATATTAAATTAACAAAAGAAAAATGGGATAAATTTGTTAAAATGTCGTATCCCTGTTTATTTTCCCACCACTGTATGTATGTATGTATTTTTGGGCGCTAATTCTGGTGAGAAGTTGCCTTCAGACAACTTTATTTAGAGTTTTCGAGTTTCCAATGGAAACTCTCCATTTTATGAGAATCAATACTTATATGATAAATAATAAAAATATCTTGTCTAAAAAAAAAAATTAAAAATTTTTTTTCATTAATTATTTGTTAATGAAAATTATATTTCTTACAGGAGTGAAATGTTTTTAGATTTGCATTTCACGAAAATTAAGAGTCTGTGTTTAATATAATATTGTTCGTAAAAAAATCTGTTAATATGTTTCCTTTACAAAAATGGGTGTATTTTTACCTTTAAATTATAATATATTAAACTAAAATTATTTCGAAAATTAAAATTTTTTCTATATAAAGTAATTGCTTTAATAGCAATTAATTAATTTTTTTCTTTTGAATTATTAAAAAGAAAATATAGGCATTCATCTATATGCGTAAATACCCTTTAACCTCGTAAACAAACCGGTTTCGCATACAAAATGAAGTAAGCTTACGAGGTGCATGTGGTTACAAGCCACTTTTACGTGTCTAGATGAATTGCCCTGATATAAAGGTATTTTTACATACACAGACGTACATACATATATGTATGTACATCATCCCAAGTTAAAATTTATGCTTTAATACGTTACCTTGAGCCTCTTTTAAATACATACATACATACATATCGTTACCTAAAAGTGAAAAGGGTCCAAGTTTACTTTAATTTAGTTTTTGATGCAGAATGACAGATAATGCGAAACTACATCTATTTTTCGTCTCTCTGGAACAATTTTAAAAAAAATGGTCTTGTCACCTTTTCACCATTAGGTAACCATATGTATCGCACACATTAAATAAGAACTATTTTTTCGATGGAAATCGTAAAAACGCAAAATGAAACTTTTTCATTGCATCATAATTTTTTATCTCCATAAATTTTTTAAAGAAAATTAGTATAAGCTAGCGCCGCATATACATACATATTTTTAATTGAAACCCTTCATTCATACATACTCCAATAAATTTTAGTAATAGTTTATCATATAGTATTCATGCATATATGAAGAGAAAAAAAAACTAAAGCAAAAAGAAATAGTATAACGAAAATCATCAAATGCAAAATGCAAGCGATTTAAAAAATCCAAAATAAAAACTAAACAAAAAAAAACGAATTATAAATTGAAAATATGTAATACATGTAATTGATAATCTTAAAAATATTAAGCTAGTGTTTTATTTATTGATTGGTTTTGAAAACATCATAGACTATTTCTTAAGGCGCAAACGTTTTTTGCTGGGTAAACCATAATGGACCTTCGAGTTGTGGTTATTGCAGCAGCAAGCGACAGTCGGTCCAGTGGTCACGTCAGTTGTTGTAATCTTCATGTTTTTCTTGTAGACTTAGGCTTAGATCGGGTAACAGGAGCGTTAGTTGAGTGTGGTTTAGGGGGCATGCGAAGAAGTGTCTCGAGTCTTGAGGTGTATCTCCGCATGCCGGGCACTTATTGGGCACATATGCACATATTCTGCCGAGGCAGACGAAGCTCTGTCTCGTCCACGTCAGGCGGTTGTGTTCCCAAAACGGCATTTACGAGTCGGGAGTCGGTGTAAGTTGAGGCCGACTAGCAGTGAATGCCGTACATAGCCAGTCGGTCTGGAGGTCGCTTTATGAGCCTCTGGATTTCGTGTGTTAGTTCGTATAGATGCCTTCTGACGTGCCTAGGCGAGGGCTTTGCTGCAAGCATATGTCTGTTCGGTTGCCCACGTATGTGACACCCTACTTAGAACTGTTTGGTAAGCATCATGTTATGCTCCTGGGAGCATTTCAGCATCGTCGTGAAGACTGCTGTGACGACATCAGAAGGCATCCGGTTGCGGTCCGATGTGCCGTATTCTGACATATCTGTAGCTTCGTCCACTGCGTCCTGCTAGTCCACAGCGACCATGCGGGCGCTGCATAGTTGAGGTCCGATCGTTTCCTTGTCTTTGCCCCAGGTGCTGCCGGCTAGCGACATTAGGACCTTGTTGCGGCTCTATACTTACTCTGTTGACAAATGCGGTTGTATGCGCCATGAAGGAGAGTAGACTATTGAAGGTAACTCCGAAAGTTTTTAGGTTATTCACTGTTGAAGTTGGTTCGCCATCGACGTGAATTCCCAGCTGTAGTCTGCCCTCCTTCGTCCAGGTGATAAAAATGGTTGCCGATGATTTCGAAAGGGGTAGGGTTATGCTCCTTGCAGTGAAGAAGCGAGAAAGTTCGGAGAGTTAACTATTAACTTTCGGGTTATCAAGTCCATTACTGTACGCCATCGTCAGCACATGGGGCAATAGAGACTCCGTTTGGTGGATGATAGAGCTTTGAGATATAAAATTAAACAGCAGCAAGGACACCATCCTGTGGACCCCCTGTTTAATTTTCCTCGGTTTTCTCGTTTTGTTTCTAAAAATTACTGACGATAATTCGCTGACCAACGTTTGAGTCCCGGTGGCAAAGAAAATGCCCATGTCTTCTAGTAGCGTGGAGTGGTTGACGGTGACAAATGCCTTTGACGAATCCAACACTAACAGGGCTGTTCTCTCACAGGGGCGGTTTCGGTTCAGGTCACGAGCTATCTCGGTGTTAATGGCGTTAAGTGCTGAAGTCTCGCTGGATCATGTGGCAAAGCCCCAAGAGTTTTCGCTACCGGAGAAAGCAGTTTTATCGGCGGGTTTCCACGGCATAAGCAGTGGGGTCACTCTCCTCGTTTTCCAGATATATGAAACGATGAGAGTGCCATGGGTAAATTAAGGACCTTGGTGAGATAATATACTCCCGCAGGATGCAATTTTTTAAGCATCAGCATGCATATTCCGTCGGCTTGCATGTCATGGCTTTCGCTTTCCCGATGGTTACCTAAACCTCACGAGTTACGAGTTTGTGCAGCCTTCTGGTCACTCGACATGTGGCTCCGACCTCACGTTTGACCAAAGCTTGCTCATACCAGAGGTGAAATTACAAGTCTCGAAATTCTCTTCCCACTTCTTGCGAGATTTCGGGATCGGCCTTGCGAAGGTTGTCTCGATCATCGGCTAGGACAGCCGCTTCCGACAGCGGCATCGCAGAATGTGTTTGCGGCGGCAGGTGTTGCTCTTAGCTTATGCCATGTTATACGGTATATTCTGAACCGACACACCGATCAGATTGTTGGAGGAACTAGGAGCTGTTGGCGGCAGCGTGTAGGTGGGTTTCGAAGACTTGAGCATATTCTGAGACGACTCCATCCGTTGCAGGTATTGCACCTGACTTAGATGGTTTTTCGGCGTAAACGTATCTGGCATACGAAGCAAGTGTAGGGTTTGACACGTTGCCACGTTGAGCAAACGGGTTTTTAAGGTGACAAAGTCATGAGGCTTATCCGATAATGTCTACAGTGGGCAGGTAGTTGATATCCCTCTGGGCCGCTGGTGGTCCAACAGAGCCAAAGGATGTTCAATGTACTGGCACGATGCAAAAGGAAATCTTTACCGCCGCCGAATTCACAGAGTCGATCTCTTCGGAGAATATTGTACTCGTTCTAGCGCTGAAGACTCGAGTGGAATATATCGCTGGATTGCTGCAACTAAGATGAGGCGAAATCATGAGAATGAGGGCGTCCCAGTCTTTCCTAGCATTATGAATTTAACTGGATTACTACATGAAATCATAAAAAACTAGAGCTCAAAGACGATGTTCAAAAATTAATTTTTTTCAACTTGTGTCTAACTAGTTGAACTAGACATATATATTTTCCATGGTCGATTTGATTCCAAAACTATACTATTATTATTATTACAATAAGCACATGTACAACTTTTTGACTTTGTGAAGTTTAAAGCAATCAAATCTTGTATTATAATAGCTTATAAAAACTCTATTTAACAAATATGTATTAGCCGATTGTTTGTAAGAGGTAACTTTGATTCAGCGTCGCATGCCGCCACGGCCGTAATATTTTGAAGATTCTGGCCCTGGATGTAACGATTGTACATTTGAAATGACGGGTATTTTCTGCGGCACTTTCGGTAAAGTTGAGTCGCGTGGGTGGGCCAGGGGCATTGTTGGGCGATTCTGTGTGGGCATTGTTGGGCGACTTTGTGTGGGCATTGTTGGGCGATTCTGTGTGGGCATTGATGGGTGGTGCTGTTGCGGCATCGCTGGCCGAATGCGATGTGGTTGCTGCGATGCGTGCGTTGTATGCACATGTCGTGACGGTGGCGCTGGTGGTGGCGATTCATGAATCCCCGCCATATGTTCTATACGCGGATCGCGTGGCCTTGATGGTGGTAACACCATCTGCGTTATTTGCGGTGGAGCAGGCTCAAGTGCAGAAGGTAGTTGTGCGCATTTATAGATATCGATCATGCGCTGCCGCGTGCGATACAAGTCCAAGCCATTTGCCGGTACAGGTTCGCATATTAGCTCGGCAAAATCACTTAAAGCCATTAGTTGATTTTCGTTTAAAGTATTAATCTGCTGCATCAATGGCAGATCATCGTAGCCGCTGGTGCTCGTAGCTAATAATGCTGTAGTTTGCGTTGCGGCGCAATTGCGCGGCGGCATAGCTTGTACCGCAATATCGTGTAAGTTTTTACGCCTCTCCGCCGCCGATTCCAAGACGGTGACTTCATTTGTTTGCGTGGCGACTGTAACGAGGAATGACGTCTGTGGCTGTGACATTTGCTCGTCAGCTTGCTGTTCCAGGCATTCCTGTTTGATCTTTTGCAGCTTGGGCGGCAATTGGACTGTGCGCAGTTTTTCGGTTAGCGCATGCGCGTCGAAACCTAACAGTTTAGCCACTTTTCCTGCTACTTGAGGCATTGCTTCCAAGCCCCATTCGTACAAGTTGAATTGATTAGCGTGGGAATTGAATTTGTAATGGACATTGTTGACATTGTGTAATGGCGAACGATTTTCGTAAATTTGTTGTTTGTAATAAGAGCTACTGTTGGGCAATTTGCGCACCGTTGTTGTATATATAAGCTCTACCATGTGATTTTTCTCTGGGTTGTTACCCTTTTTGAGTGCCTCAATTGCGTCGATTGCGCGTTGCTTTGCTGAAATTCCAATCGATTATAAAAACTTTTAAAACACTATAATAAAGTGTCAATTTATTACACACCATGTAGAATTTTATCCTTGGGCGAAAGCAGACTTGCTTGTTTTTCTCTAGATTTCTCAACGTCCTTTTCCACTGCCGAGTCAATGTTAAAAATTATTACAAATTTCATATGTATGTAGTATGTATATAACAAAGTTTTTTTTTTAAACATTTTACTTACGTTTTATTCGCTTGAAGCCCAATGGCGTAGTCATATCAATAATAAGCCCATTCCTATTGTTGCTACTACGGCGTTGAAAGAGCTCTCTTTCCTGCACAGGTAAGCTAATATCGGGACCATCGTCGTCAGCAGGTGGCGCAGAATTTGGCGCTGGTAATGTTGCGAATTCGCTTTTCACGCGAATCATGCGGTTGTGTACGTTTGGTGGCATGGCCCTTCTTGCCGCTGCTGCGCTGCTTGTCTCCGGTTCGTCTGTATCTAAATTCACTATATCCAAAGGCAAAGGCGATGGGTGAAATGGTTGAGCTGCAGCATGCGGAAACAGCGAGCCACTGCGTGGCGGACTATCAGGAATCTCCATAAATTCACTTTTCACTCGTATTCGCGTACGTTGTGGTCCGCGCTCAGGACTTCTGCTACCACTGTCGTCTATCAGCGTTATTGTTCTAGAGTTAGGACTTCTGCTGTTACTACGTGGAATTCGCTTACTACGCTTTCTCGTACCGTCTATATGCTCTTCATCATCTTGTGCATCAGCGTGCGAACGTTTATGTGATTTCTTTTTCTTCTTTTTATGCTTCTTATGTGCCTTATTTGAGCGCTCATCAATAGATTCTAATTGTTGCAACTCCTTTAGACGTTCGGAATATTTTTCTTCCAGATCTTGATTAACTACATCTTCTATTCGCTCTGCAACATGATCGACCAGCAAATCATCGAAGAAATTATCTGGAATTGGTGCGGACTGTGTAAATTCTGCAGCATTTGAACTATCAATAGGTTCGCTTTTTATCCTTGGGTTTTCTTGCGGGGCATCTGTTGGAGTCGGCGCATGTAAAGCTGCCGCTGTAATATCGTCGGCATTTTGTAGAAGGTCGTCAAAAAAATTATCTGGCAGCGTTTCATCCATTTCGAGCTCGCCATCTTCCATGTTGTAATTTTTAAGAGATTTAGCCGACACATTTGTATCCTTGGCGCCTAGCGTTATGGTATTACGGCGTACTGTAACATGGTTAGGCGGTGGAAGTGGTATATTTACTACCAAAGTAGAATCATTTGTGTCAATAAGTTCAGATTTTATTCTGGGTAATATGTCGGCGGGTTCATTTTCACTAGCTACGCTCTTTGTCATGTATGCTGCGGAAACTGTTGGCGCCTCGACCTCGTCATCTGGTTTTTCTTGCTTTATTTGAACTTGAGCATCAAGTGGAACATGTGGCGTCGACATTGAAGTTGTTGGCACAACGTTAGCATGCCGAGTTTCTGCGGCTGGTGGACCTACCACAGCGTCGGTAGTTGTTGTAACAAAAGTAGTTTGCGTCACAGACGGCTTATCTTCTCTACCTTGGGTAGTTGTACCTGTGGCATTTGGCGTGCTTTTAGCAACATCTTCAGTTGATTCTCCAATTTCTGCACTTTCAGCGGTTTCAGAATTATCAGTTGTGGTTGTTGTAGTTGCAACAGGCTCCGTCCCACTATCCAAGGGTTCTTCTTTGATCTCAGGCGGAATTACGATTGGCCTATGCGGCAATTCCTTTGTTTGTGGAGAATATGGATTTGAATCAGCATTGGTAGCATCCAATTCCTCCATTATCTTCTCCAGTGGATCCACACTGTCGTTGTTTTCCATGATTATAAATGGAGTAATCTGTGCGGCGCGCACCAAAAAGCGATAACAAATATATTTAAAATAGTGCTAGGCAGCGTTAGAATGCATACTTAAAACAGGGTGATTAAGAAAATAGTATTCACAATTGTAAAACTCCTATACTAGTTGTGTTTGTTTACAAATTATCCAGTAACTTGCCAGCAACTCTCCAGTAATTTTATTTCTAAGAATTCGCTCTCATAGAAAAAATTCAGAAAAAAGTACGTGAACGCTATTCCAGTAATAACAAAGAACGTAAATCTAGATAGATAAATAGATTTACCTTCTTTGGTTTGGAAGTTAAAAATGAAAAAAATGCGACGAATTAAACTTGTAAGAAGTAAGTATGTAGTTATTTGTTTAATCAATAAACTGTGTCAGGATACCACTTTGTAATAAGTTCTCGTACGTTTTAAATTTTACACTTTTGAATGTAAACAAAAATTATATCAGCTGTTCGTCTAACTTGCAAGTTTCTGCAAATTTTCTGTTCGCGTTTTGTTTTGGATATTTTTCTCTTGTAAGAGAACTGGTGACATTTCGCCGGAATTTTGCTGTTGGTTGGTTTTAACTGGAGATTTTAAACAAACGCACCTAATGGGTAGGTTCAGAAGGCGCAGCAGTTGAGTGATCAGTGATCGTAATGCGTCTTCTGAACGACTTGATACGTTAACTGTCAAATTCAACAACACACAACATGTTGTCTCAAATGATCAGAAAAAAATTACGATCATCTAACACGCAACTGTTCAGTTGATCAGAAGTACACAACAACGCGTTCAGAAGGTACAATCGCAACAGTTACTGAGCTGTCGCGCCTTCTGAACGTGCCCATTTTGAAGTCTTGTTAATAATTCCTTCACAGGTTTCAACCACCCTATGCTGCATAACAGTTTGAGGTCCGCTGTATGTCTTATATTTATTTAGGTATCAGCTGTTTTGTAAATTGTAAACAATTCTATGCACCGGTGAAATTAAGCGCGATCTGATGAAATATTGGACATAAACGTATAGAATCTGGTTTTCGAAATGGAAAGCGAAGAGCAAAAGGAAACCGGTGCCGATGACATCGACTGTAGGCCTTCATGCTCCAAACACGCCATGCAGAATAGCAAAGTGGACACTGAATCCTTTGCTGATAAGGCGTCGTCCGCAGGCGCCGAGGCACCTTCAAAAGGAGAAGAATCTGGGTTTAAAGATGACGATGCAGATTTAGCAAACGTTATGACCGCTGAGGAATATTTGCAGCGCAAAGATGTACAAATGCTCGAATATGAGCGGCAAATTTTTCTGGATATAGTAAATGCGGATGGTCTAATAGTTTGCGCCAAGTAAGTAAATGTAAAGCGAGGCACTTTTTACCTTATTTAAATATTATTTTACTTTGCAGAGGTTTACATTACGACCGCGTACTAACCAATGTGCTTCGAGTTTACAGTGATCCCGGCAACTTAGTGCTCGTAATAAATTGTTCTGATTGGGAAGAGCAGTACTATAAATCGAAAGTAGAGCAAAAATATGTGCATGAAGTAGCTACAACTGCCACAGAGCGGTAAGCACAATTATTTCTTGTTGCACTTTAGCAAATATTAATGCCCTGTTTTCGGTTCCAGCGAACGTGTTTACTTGGAGGGTGGTATCCAATTTATAAGCACCCGCATTTTAGTTGTTGATATGTTGAAGAATCGTATTCCGATCGAATTGATAACCGGCATTGTGGTAATGCGCGCACACACAATCATTGAATCCTGCCAGGAGGCATTTGCTTTGCGGCTTTATCGCATGCGTAACAAAATCGGTTTCATTAAAGCCTTCTCCAGCAGCGCTGAAGCATTTACAATTGGTTATGGCCACATAGAGCGTACTATGCGCAATCTCTTTGTAAAACAACTCTTTATTTGGCCTCGTTTTCATGCTATCGTACAACATTCACTAAAACCCTACGAGGCGCAAACAATTGAACTACATGTCCCAATGACCCAGAAAATGACGTTGATACAAACTCATCTGCTCGATATAATGAATTATTTGGTGCGCGAAATCAAGCGTATTAACCGGTTGATCGATTTAGATGAGATCACTGTGGAGAATTGCATAACTAAGAAGTTTCATAAAATTCTGCAAGCGCAGCTGGACTGCATTTGGCATCAATTGAACTCACAAACAAAACTGATTGTGGCGGATTTGAAAATTTTGCGCAATCTGATGATGTAAGTTTGTTTTGCGGAGGTCTACATTTTTGTTTATAATTTATTTTTACACTTCTTTAGCTCTACAATATATCACGATGCTGTGGCCGCTTATGCGCTAACGAAACGCTACCGCACAACAGAATATGCGCTAGGTAACTCTGGCTGGACGCTGCTGGACTCAGCTGAGCAGCTATTCAAGCTATCAAAGGAGCGTGTTTATAATCCACAAGGCGGTATGTGCCTTAACTCTAGTTTTTATGAATGTCAATAGAGTTTTTATAAATTTCTTTTTATACAGAATTTGAACCTGAACCCTGTCCTAAATGGAAATACCTGGCTGAAATACTTAAAGTTGAGATTCCCGGTGACATGAAACGTTCACATCCTGATTGTCTGGTGCCGCCAAAAGTGCTAATTCTCTGTCAAGATACACGCACTTGTTTCCAATTGCGACAGTTTCTCACACAAGGTGGTGAGCGGTTTTTGCTTTACGCCGCTATGCAACATGAAATACCAATTGGAAAGCTGGCTGCTAGCTATGATAAACTGAAGAATGTTAAAGATATTGCAAAAGCGCTAACACAACTTGAACAATCTGCAGCTGCCGCTCAGGCGAATACGCAGAAATTCAGCAGCTCACAGAAATCAGGGAAAGAGCCCATTGATGGGATAGATGTTGACGATGAAGGTCAATGCGCGCCGATAGATGAACTAACGCAGCTGTTGACTGGCGCTGATGGCGATGAGCCGCTCACAGCTACGTACTTTCAAGAAAGCTATATGCTGACAATGACGCAACTTGGCGATGGTGATGATACGTTCTGTGTGATTGGCACTGATGCGGATGCTGGTGGCGCTGCGGCAAATAATGTCAATACTTCAGTTTTTGAGCCATTCCCGGAGGTACCTTTGTAGCTTAGTAAATTTGAATACATACTTTTCATAACATTCCGTTGTTTACAGCTGGAAAATTTGGACATCACTGCCGCTGTAGCTGCACGAAATCAACCTCTAATCTGCATACAGACATTTAAGACAGAACGTGATGGTGCTATGGGACTCGACCGCATACTAGAAGAGATACAGCCACAATATGTGATTATGTATCATTGCAATGTTACTGCCATTAGGCAATTGGAAGTATACGAAGCTCGTCAACACCGTCCAGCGAAACACCGTATGCGTGTATTTTTCCTATTGCATGCTCGTACCGTTGAAGAGCAGTCCTACTTGACGAGCTTGCGACGCGAAAAACAGGCATTCGAATTTATCATTGAGACGAAGCGCGTAAGAGGATAATTCGTAGCTGATATTTTTAGTTTTTTTTTGGCTACATACAATGTATTTTCTTTTTTTTTTTTAAATTACATAGGTAATGGTCATACCTGAGTATCAGGACGGCAAAACCGATGAAGCTTTCATACTCTATAAAACATACGCTGAGGCCGAAGGTTTGGAGGAGGCTAATGCCGCTAGCCGTAATGCAGGTGGGCAAGCGAGTCTTGTGCCATTTGCTGCACCCAAAATCATTGTTGACATGCGTGAATTCCGTTCGGATTTACCGTGCCTGATACACAAACGTGGTATGGAAGTGCTGCCAGTTACTATAACGGTACGCCATTTAATTTACTAACTTATCCAAACACTTAAAACTCTCTGGGTTTACTTTCCAGATCGGCGACTACATACTCACGCCAGATACTTGTGTTGAACGCAAATCAATTTCTGATCTAATCGGTTCACTTAATTCCGGCCGCTTATACAATCAGTGCATACAAATGCAGCGTTTTTATGCCAAGCCTATTTTATTGATAGAATTTGATCAGAATAAACCATTTCATCTCCAGGGTAAATATATGCTCTCACAGAACACCAGCTCTACCCACTCTGATATTGTGCAGAAGCTACAATTGCTCACAATACACTTTCCAAAATTACGCCTCATATGGTCACCAAGTCCTTATGCCACCGCACAATTGTTCGAGGAGCTAAAGTTGGGTAAACCTCAACCTGATCCAAAGCAAGCAGCCGCTGTCGGTATTGACGAAGCCGGCAGCAGCACCGAGGAGCTAAAATATAATCCCAATATTTACGATTTTCTGCTGCGCTTACCAGGCGTAAATACGCGTAATGTACATATGCTAATGCGTCAAGGTGGTTCCCTGAAGGAGTTGCTAAGGCGTACACAGGTGTGTGTGTTAGATACGATTTTTTTTGTTGTAGAACTCGTAAACTTTCTTCTCGTTACAGGTTGAGCTCGGCGAAATGCTTGATTCGCAAGAGAACGGGCGCATGTTGTGGGATGCATTGCATGTGGCGCATTTGCCCGAGAAAGATGAGGTTTCCGGCGCAGCTGCCCTGGTTGCTGGCAAATCTTTTGGTAATCATTCGCGCTTCCGGCGTGGCGCAGCGGCTGCGGTGGCGGCGCGTGGTGTGCAGAGGCGATTCAAGAAATGAAATTTGAAAAAAAGAATATTCATTTATATTTATTTTTGTACCCAGTTTTTGGCTTTTTTAAGTGCATTTTTAAAAAGGATATTTATTGAAGAATTAAAATTCGTTTCAGAATTGAATAACTAGCCCTGATTTGGTTTAACATATAGGTTATTGTTGTTGTTGTAGCAACAGTGCTCAACCCCCAGGTTCTGTCATGTGTCGTCATCTTCATTCTCTGAATCTGCAAGCCTGAGGGCGATGAATCTGGTAGGTGGTGTCGATGAGCGCAGTCCAGAGCACTTCTGGTGTCAGCTTCGTTGGGTTGGAGGTGCATCTGAAGAGAAGTTGTGCGCTGTGAGGACCTTGCCCCCATGCTGGGCAGGTGTTTGCCACTTCTGTGTTCAGCTGAGAGAGGTAGCTGTTAAGACGGTGGTTGCGCGTGCTGAGACTCGATCTGACCGCATCGCTGTGTAGGCTGTTGACAGAGCTGGGTAAATGCAATAACATTACAATTGCAATTGCATTTCTAAGTAATTGTAATTAGAAATCAATTCATTCAGTCCACAGTTAGTGGATTGATTACTTTTTCAATCCCTTAGAAGTAATTTCAAATGTAATTGTTTTTTTTTTTGAATTCCATTATAAGGAATTTCATATTGTAATTGGAATCAATTACGTGCTAGCAATTAATTTTTTTTTTCAATTCCTTTGAAATCAATTGAAAATATAATCTATTTTCTTCCAATTTCATTACCTGGAATTGCAGGAGTTTTGTAGTTTTTTTTCAATTACTCAAAGGAATTGTGAAAGTAACTGACAAACTAAAAGTTCATTTACAAATGTGAAATTTTGTAATGTATGTAGGTATGCTTAAGATTACATTAATTATCATCACAATTTAAAAGCGGCCATGGGATTTCAATTGGTTTATGAAACCAATAAACTGACATGAGCTAAGAAAAGTCTGAAAATACATACACTGCCGGAACAAAGTATTGGCACAGCAAATTTTTCATAATATATGCAACAATTTTCATTCAAATATTTTTTCGCTAATTTCGTATAAAAATATGGTTCATGCTACAACAAAAAACATAAAAATATAATTCCTAAACTTTCTGCAAAACTCGCGAAAATTCAGCAAATTTTCATGAAGAATTTCAACTTTTTAATCAGATTTTTTAGAATTAGATTTTTTTGAGTATGCCGATTTGTAGCCCAATCAATTCTATTATAATAAATTGCAAGTTTTAGTAGTAGGAATTACCGTTGATTTTTGGCAATTTTTTCCCGCCAGGGTACGAAAATAAACTAGATTGTACGTTACTATTTCGTTTCGTTTATTACTTCAACAGTTCGGTACGATACGAAAACAAAACGGCTGGGTTCACTTTGGCCATAGTACACTACAGTAGCTTAGTAGTTACAGACGAAACAACGAACGAAATGAATCGTGCAGAGAAAAATATATGTACATATGTACATATGTACACATATGCAATAACCAAACACAAAACGAATGGCTGCAATGAATAAAAAAAAATATATATATTTTTTAATTGAATTGGATATGAAAATTTACAGAAAAAAATATTTTTCACGTAATTGAAACGTTTGCATACATATAAAACGCACCCTATGGTACAATTGTCACAAACGAAAAGCAAACGTTTCTCGTTGGGGAAAATGACAGTGAATCTTACAATTTGTTCATGATACAAAAAAGAAAGTAGTTTCAATAAACAACTTTTGACGGATAATAAAATTTTTTGAAGTGTCATAAATTGTGAGTATTATCATCGGCCTTGCCACTTTGGTAATATTAAAACAATAAATCGGAGTATTTTCCTTCAAATATTTATACCAATGTAATACTATTTCAAATCAAGGAGACTTCATCGTAATTGTCCTTTTTATTTCATAATAAAAACCACGTGCGCATTATGCTGTTATTTTTTCATTTTCGATCTAAAAATCTAATTCTAAAGAATGTTATTCCCAAATACTTAAAACCTTTTTATATTTAGGTTCAAATTTACTTTTAAATTTCTCATCAGATTTTGCAAAAAATTAGCTTTCACAAATTTTGAACTTAAAGTAAAAAAAAACCTGAAAACGGCTTGAACAGACCGCCCTCCGATAAACAATTAACATACTTACGTCGTATTAGTACAAAACAGCGTATCAACAAAATGCAAAACTGCCTATATGAGGTTGCATAAATTATTTTCTAGAGAGAAAAAACACTCATATTTCAAAATGGTTCTCTTTTTTATAAAGCAATCACATTTCTGGCTAGTATATTTCAGGACGAATGGAAAAGGCTTGAGCCAAGATCTTGCGTGAGCAAATCCAATTATTGGCAAAAAATGTCTGTTACGCGGTTTTGCAGAGCGACGATACGCGGTTTTGTACTTTAAACGACGATATGGAAGTATAATTTTGATCACTTTCTTCATGCGTTCGGAAACCTAGTCATCAACCCCATTTTCGAAATTATGTAGCCGGCATAATTTTCAAGTCCATCATATTCTACATCTTTGAATGTACTGATAAAATCTTCTGCTTAAAA